ATAATCGTTAATCACACAAGCCCATCATGAAGCGATGCTGAGAAGAACCCTCAGGAATAGCCCATCGCGTTCACACTAGACCTTGATATTAATAGTAATAAGTAATGAGATAGGAGATGCAGTAGCAGCAGCTTTAGAAAAGGCTCAGGAATCAAACCCTTCTTTTACATGGGAATATTTTCAGGGTGGGATATATTAATATAGGAACAAAGGGTTCTTGAATCAACATGTGAATGGGGATTTACATTATTTATTATTTTATCATTTTAGTTTATTGTTATTTCATTTATTATTTACCTTTATTAAATATAACATTCAAAACCTGTTTATGAGCTTGTGGTCTTTTTACTTTGTCTGACAATTATACTTGCAATAATATTAAACTTCAACAATTACAATAAGCAATTGTCAAACAAGGCTAACAATACCTCTACAGTCAGTCAGTTACTCATGACTCTTATGTTCCATCACATATATGCAGACTTTCTATTACTAATTAACTGCAGTGACTACTTTTTCCTACCAACAAGATTAATGACAGTCTGTAGAGCATATTTACACAGTGGCTCTCTTTATAGTGGAGAGTATCCACAAAAAGGAAATCTCACCATATCATATATATAGTGTAATTTAATATACTGTATATTATGTGATATACACTATAACGAACGTCACGTGTAAGCTAATCAATCAATTTTATTGGTTTGAAAGTATTTGGAACTGTTGCTTGTTTTCAATATTATTTCGAAGAATTTGATGTTTTCTTGTGTTTAACAAATTAAATTCTGTATAAACACCATTAGCAACCATCTGGAATTTGACAACTTCAGGATTGGCTGCTTCAAATACAAAACGTTGATTTTTTGTAAACCACTCAATTTCTTAAAGAAAATCCCCAACACAGAATTAAGATCCAAGTACTAAAAACCCTTTCCGTTGTCATAACACTGAGCTTTGTTTAATTCCGCTGTGCTCGATTTTTTCACAGCCTCGACAATATGGTTCACACAATCTACTGTTGTTTTTCTATAGAGCTTTTGAATCAATCCAAAACTACCATCACACTTAAATTTAGTATGTCCAGGTACCATGAAATTTAATTCGATACTTTCATAATAACCACAAATTACCAAATACAAGGAAAATCAAATAGTAGCATTATTTTTATTCTGACCACCAGCGTTATTGCAGGTAATTTTTCACCTTTATTCGATTTCTTTATTCCATGCCCAGTGTACCATTAGGACCTTTCCCATAATTTCGTCTTCATTAAGAACGTAATTAATTTGTTCGCGTACTGCTGTACTTTACGCGGACTAAGATAATAAATCTTACTTAGGAATGGAGCACGTGAACATTTTGTGCCCAATCGTAACTGTAATGAGCAGTAGCGTCAATGCTACAATAATCAACTTTTGCTATAAAATGCTCATCTACCAATTTTCTCGGTTGTTCTGCTAATTTCGTATTTTTGTTGTAATAAATTTAGCTTTAACCAGATGTTCTTTGTATTTTTTTCAACAAATCTCTTGCTTCTTCTTCCTTACGAGCATTATACTGTAAGCCATTCCGAAAATGTTGGCACGTGTCACATAAATCTGTTCTTGGACTCATGATGGCGTTAATTGGTGTCATAACTTACGAAACGCATCATATTTTAATAATTTCAACGTGCTATCGTTTCGAGACTTGCAATAAAATCACGACAGACCGATTTATAACTTGTTTCAGCTGGCAAAAGTGTAAGCGATTGAGTAATTCGATTAACATTTCTACCAGGACTTGCTTGGTAGTCCATGAATTTCAGCATAGTTTTCGAGAAAATTCTTCACGCGGTAGCAACGGTTATATCAATGGTTATTTTAGTTTTCCATCGCGGCACTCTTTTTACATTACTATGAACACGTGGTATTATACCATTCGCCGCTAGATATTTTCGAAGTGAGTGCGGCCAATTCCCAACATGTTTTCCTGACAAAGAGGCGTATTGCGATCGCAGTAGTAAAACGTTCTCTTATTAATACGCGCTTTCTTTTAAGACGCCGTTATTTCTCCACCATTCATGCTTTCAGTTGGGCCATTAAAAATATGTCTTGAAACGCTTCACATAACTCGGCAAACCTTTCTCTCAGGATCTTTTTTGAGCAACCACAATTGCAACCCGTCTCTAAGAAACGCATTGCTTTTTCATATTCAGTCGAACCATTGTATTCACTATTTTTCATTATGGGTAATACTATATATATTTTTATTGTTTCATATTTAACTTTTCAATTTTTTCGGATGAATTGTATTTCACTCTATTTTCTTTTCAATATATACCTATTACTATTTAGCAGTCACCTGGTTACTTTGTCTTTGATCTATATATGTGTGACATCAGTTAAAAATGTAGTTAATGGTACCAAACATACAAAAAATTGTTACCTCTTTTTAGGTGGCCCATAGACACAAGGAAGCATTTGATACAACAATTCAGTTTCATCCCCAGCACATACTGTAAGTGGGTCATTCCATGCACAAATGAGATTCTTAAAGACAGTCTGATACTCATCTGAGAGATTGAAAGATGCCAGACCATGGACAATGAGCCAGTTGGAATTACCCCTCATTACAGAATGTTTCAATGTCTTTCTTTTTGCAGTCTTGTCATAATATTTTGCTTTGATATCAACAGCAGTTTCTGTATATGCTTTTCCTACAAAAGAAATTCCATAATGATTTATGAATAACAATATTAATATCTTCATTGAAGTAAACCATCAGAATAATTAAAGCACATAGTTACTTACCCACATGTAAATAGACACCAAGATAGTTGGCTTCTATAGAAGCTGCACAATCCTCATCAAATATGACCTTTGCCCGAAGTAAGGGTCCAGTAGCTTGTTCTTCTTGTGTTTGGCTTGGTGGATTTGCCCAGTTCTTGACCTACAAGGTTTTTTGTCAGAAGAAGCAAAAACCTATAATGAATAATGTATCTATTATCTATATTAATATCTATACTACACACCTGAAATACAATGGCCCCAAACTGTGATGTAGTGCGATGTTTGATAATTAGCCCAAGGTCAGCACCTTGTTGATTACGCTTGAAGTGAATTGCCCCACATCGTTCCCAAATTGCCTCAATAGTTTCATGGTTGGGTTTATGATTAATTGAAATAAAGTGGGTAAAGCCTATATCAAAGTCATTGATATTGGGAAGTGTCGTGCCGACTACTGCGGGAGAGCAGAAAGTAATCGACACTTGGGATTTAACTAGTCTCGACAGAGCGTGGCTGCCTCCTATTCAAGTTAAATGTCTAGGGTACAGTTAGTGACCTTGTCAATGTCAAGGCTTTTCACTT